AATGACTTATTTTCGTCATAACTTGCTGTGTATGGTGAACTGACAACTCCTCTGACTGTCGGACTTCTTAATGCGCATGCGCAGGCATGGTACTCACTGCATGTATGCTATTCTGACAGCGTATGGCTATCTGATAGAACAACGGCTATCTGATAGAACAACGGCTCTCAGCGACACTCCAGTCCTATCTAATAAGTAAAGAGACGAGCAGATGAATCGTACTGTTCCTGAATGTCACATCACTATATTGCAGACTTTTGGACATAGCGTTGTCCCATAAATGCGACAAGTCAGTCAACACCTCCGCACAATAATTCAGCGCAGTGAGTGACTTTTTTTCATCACAAATAACGTGTCTCTGTACAGCTAGCTTTGCTAACATCACGTTAACGGAGCTTACCTTCTTTGAGCTACTAAGTGACGAAAAAAGTTAGACGTTGTCCCCACCGTCTGTGAAAGCGAAGCGCTGCTGAGTTAGCTGTGGCCATCGGATTTCTGATGATTTATGCAGCTCTATTATATTACTGACGATTAGACGGACATCTTCTGCCGCTCAGAGGAAACCACTGTGCATGTCTCAGAGCGCCACGTACGAGTGAAAGGTGGGGAGGGGAGGGGGGAGAAACAGAAACACGTAATTGGTTGGATTTTAATCAGTGCATTTTGCATCCAATGAAAACGAAGATGTTAACAAATAAACTGGACAGTATGCTGTACGTTTAGTGATATTTTCACAGTTGCGGTCTTGACTGGTCTTGAAATAAACCAGTTGAGACCTCCGAGACCAAATATGGTCGAGTCCGAGACGAGACCGAGACCATCAATAAATGGTCTTGAGACCAAGACCGACCTTGAGTACTACAACACTGGTGAGGGGTGAATAAATGTGCACCCAACACTTTTCAGATTTCTGTTTGTGAAAACCTTAAACAGTTTCCTTCCATCCCACAATTATGTGCTGTTGTTTGTTGCTCTATCACAGAAAAACCCAAGAAAACACATTGTCACCTTCCTAAAATAATGGCCTGGATCATTTGTTTCCAAAAGATGATCTGATAAAAAATAAATCAGTTTTGACAGAAAATGACATATTCCATTATTTTAGGAAGGAGAAAACATTGAAGTTTGTGTTTGTAAAGTTATGAACTGATAATACTTTTGCGTGTACTGGAAATTATGGTAAGATCCAAACCAGCAGTACCTTTTTTCTTTAATAATCCATTTTGGGTTTCTTAAAACTAGGCCTGTCACAATGAACAATAAATCAACTAATCTCATGATAAATTAAAACAAACCCAATAATTTCCATTTGCATGATTTAGAGTTTTTCTCTTTTCTCTCTCTTTTTACCAAAAACTGGTTGACAAAAGTCTTCAGTCAAGTTCAATGTTTACAGACATTTCATAATTAATTTTATTTGTTGTTTCTGTTGTTTTGTTTACTTAGTTTTGGATACTTAAAATGTCTTCCAGTTTTAAATATTCAATAGAATTTGAAGTTTATCAATCTTTGAGAATGTGTTCTTGAGTTACTGTGCCATTACCATTATTGGTCAATATTGTTGTTGTGAGACCATTTCCATCGTTTACGGCAATAAATTCTGTTGCAATTGATCGTCCAACAAAATTTGTTATTGTGACAGAACTACTTGTTCAGCTAGTTTTTTTTTTTTTTTAATTGATGTTTTTTTGTGATTTTTGCTGCAGGAAGGCAACGCCCCTCAGGGCAGCAGTCATGGAGTCAAGATCTCCGAGCCACAGAAAAAAACCAGTTTCTTTCGCTGCAGCTTGCTCTGAGAACAGAAGCCTTCCATGCTGGCCTCAGGCCGGCCGGACACAACTTGACTGTGCTTGCTCTCAGCACTTCCTCCTCTCTTTTTTTCTTCTTCTTTTTTTTTTTTTTTTTGCTTATTCTACCCAACCATGGCCTCTCCCGGTTCTCCCGGTCTGCAAAAACCACTATTGTCAGTAAGCGGAGGACTTCCCCTCCACTCTTCCTTTTCTGAAGGCTTCCAGAGGTGCGTCGCTTCCATTATTAGAGGAAAACTTGTCTTTACTTTTCAAGAGTTTTTAACTGACAAAGGACTCATCACTGATGTGTTTTCTGTTACAAAATCGGGGGCTTCTTGTATTTCTCTCAGTCGGTAGCACAGCCAGCAGCAGAAGATACTTGCCTCATTATAATGTTTTTGAATTGGAAATCAAATGTGGTATTTTGGTCTACTTTTAATAGCACTCTTTAGGTGTTTGTGTTACACGTTGCTGAGCAGAGGCTTATGGTTCTGAACTTCAGTGAAACAGAGTTGCACTTTTTTCATATCAGCAGCTGAAGTCATATCAAGGTGTATAAAGTCCATTCAAAATTATTCAGAAAGTTTTGTTCTTGTTTGTTGTTCTTGACAATCATCCGATGAGACTAAAAATGTCCTGATCACTGCCTCCAAGCTATTTTTGCAGTAGCATTCAAGTGTAGGTAAAATATCATTCTGTGTTTTCTCAGTCCTGCTTTCCAAATTTAGATAAAAAAAAGAGGTGGCATATTTTTGTAAAAGGGTCTTTAAAGTGGCAACTTGTATTAGTGGTAGAGATGGACTATGAGACTTTTCCTGGTTGAAAGAACCTTTTCTTTATGCTAATTTCTTGCTATAAAGGCATAAAAAGGTGAAATGGTTCCATAGGTTCCTTGATAGATGTTGCAGTTTTGATTCTAACAGAAAATGAAGGACTTACGAGATTATTCCCATCAAAGCATAAGCAACAAACCCTCTGTTGATTTTTGTTGAACTGAAAATGAATTGTTTTGAAGCATATGCTATTGGTTGATGCATTTATACACTGAAGACAGTGAGATTTCACATTTTATAACACATTTAATCAATAAAAAAAATAGTTATTTGATATTCTAATGAAAGAAAAATTGACTTATTCCAGGTCTTGTCAGATTGGTTGTTGCATTTATATATCGTTAAATCTTTGGAAATAACTGAAGAGGCCAATAGTAATAAACTGTTATATGATAAATAAACATTCGGTTTGTCAGATTGGGTTGCGTTATCATCTGTGTTTGACAGCCACACAGGCATGTGGGCCTGGTGTTTACCCAAAACCAAGTATTTTCAGAAACTCTTTAAGATTAAGCCCTAAAATGTTATCAGTCAGAACAGACAGATTCTGAGGCCCAAAATATAGAAACCAGATTAAATTTTTACCACCACAGGTTAAATCTCCCTATATTAAAATGTTTCTTCATAGTGGTTTGGGCGTAACTGGTTGAAGGATGGATTGCCATGAACATAAATGGAAAAATTAAGTATTTAAATTTGTAGAAATACCCCTAGTTTTTAAAAAAACAAATAACAGAAATAGAGTATTTATTCATTAGGTTTTCTAGGAGACGGATAGATGATGCCGCTTTATTTACTTCCTGTTTGGAATCAGACGTTTGTGCTTCATTTGTCCTCAGATGTCAAAACTCTCATTATATTCTACAGAAAAATATGGAGCTGTGTTGAACATTTGCACTAGTTTTTCAGCTGTAATCTGTCACCTTGAAGCGTTTGCTTCCTTGTAATTTCTGTAAACTGATGTAAATCCAGTATGTAGGCATAGAATAGAGGAGTTTTAAGCTAAAGCCTGCCACTTTGTTCTTTAAAAGTCTGTGCTCTGCTCAAGTCAAAACGGGCTTGAATTAAGCTCATTTCAGGTGTTTTCCACATTGTTTAGTTTTGATGTTTAATAGCTAGGTGGCGCTGTAGAAACAGTTTGCTTCTTTTAGCTAAACCACCTAAATGCAAATTTGAGTCAGTATTTACATAAATTCAGAAAAAAAGGAGGCCAAAGTTAATTGAAATGCTTTTCTCCTGCTTACCTCATGTTGGCATTCTTATGTTAGTTGTTTTTCTGGAAACTCCACAGCGTTCAGAAAGGCATTTTTATGGTTTGGTTGTAGCTTCTCTTTTTTTTTTTTTAAGTATCAAAGAAAGATTTGGGACCTCATGATTACTAGGACCATTTGTCTTAAACGTCAGATCTTATAGCTGAGCTATGCATTGTGAATCTTGGACCTTTGTATATCATAAACCCTTACAAATGAATTTATTTGCTTTGTTACATTTAATGTGTTTTTGTCACTCACTGAGCCAGAAACAGGTCAGGCTTGTTTGAAAACTGCATGTTAACCTAAACTTCAGCAGCAATTATTTTTGACTGATTGATTTTTTTGTTTTGTTTTACTTTTTCTTAAAATCCCATCACATGTTACAATAAAGCAAACACAAGTTTTTAGCAGCCATGTTTTCATTCTGTCTGTTGGGAAATTCACAGGAAGAAGTTTAGAGGGGTGGGGGGGAAATTATATAAATATCATTGAACATTGAAAAATAAATCTATATAAACTGTACTGTACTTTCTAAACCCATCTGAAATGTATCTACCAACTGTAGATATGTGTACTTTTGATTTAATAAAAAAGGATCTAAAAATGGTTTGACTCCTTCCAGTGTTTTCATTGGCTGAGGCGACCAGGACTTGACCCCGCGCTAGAGCTGCTTTCAGGACAAATGGCTCCCTCCGTCTCTACTGGCCCACTGGGAGCCACTGGAATATTCTGCTCTTTTATACCCAGTGTAACCAAAACCCCGTTAGATACAAAACAGATCTACAGTTGATGGTCATAATTAATGATGCCTGTCCAGATGGGTTAACTGGGCTTCCACGGTGTGGGTTCAGTTTTACTTCAGGTAAAAATATCTAAGGTAAAATGAAAACGAAAAGTAGGAGTGGTTTTCTGAAGATTGATTTGTGAAGCTCTGTAGTATTTTCAGTCCATCCATTTGAGCTTTTACAAGTGAGAAAGTAGCCACCGGTTTCCTCAGATCCGTATGTGAAAGGTGCTGTGAAGTAGAATAAAAGCGGATTTTTAGATGTACTATTCATTTTTTGTCATGCAACAATCAGAAAGTTCATTTTACTGGGATTGTATTTGACCAACGCAACTTTGCGTGTGCAAAAAAACCCAACACAAATCTTAGCTAGTAATTCTAGTCTAGTTTCTAATGCAAATATCTTCAGTGTATTATAAGCCTGGCGGGCCACCAGGCTTTACTTACCTGAGGAAATCTGGAGCTCTGTTAATCATGTGCTGGAAATCCTCAAGTGACAGACGTCCGTCATTGTCCAGATCTGCCTCATCGATCACTTTCTCGCACACCATCTTCACCTCGTCCTCCGTTAGCTCGTTACGGGTCAGCTTGTTCAGCGTCTTCTCCAGGTCCGACTTGCAGATGAAGTCATCGTCGTTGAAGTCTGTTGCGAAAACAAAAGTACATAAAAGGTCTTATCTAATGTTTAGTCCCGTGTGTTAAATGTGATCACTACTATGTCTTTTGCGCTCAAGTTTCTTTTTTGGGTTCTGGAAAGTGAGCCATTTGAAAAATTCCACAGGCACTTCGCCGTTACCTAGCAACTCCAGCCACGCCCAGCCCGTCACCTAGCAACCCAAGCTGTTCAGTTGGTTTCACTGCTGTATGTGCCATCCAAGTGTTTTGTTTTTGACTTACAATTCAGAAACCACCTGCTGCTTTCTTGTTGGTTGCTTGTCTGGCCTTGTCAAAAACCGTATTTTATTGTCTCACCCCTCCCACATAAAGAGACTTTTTTGAATAATGTGATCAATCAACCCTTGTGATTAATCTACTGCTTTTTAGTACTATAATGGATAAATAAAATCAACAGTAATTTATTTATGCATTGATATCAATGATGTTATACTTATGTAAATTACCACAGGTTAAAGGAGAAAACACGCAACATATTTGAACATAAAATTTGCCCTGTGAAGGTTTACCGTATATTTTGAAGGCATAGTAGGCCTTGAGGTCACGAGGCGCCATCTCACTGAGCACCGAGAACATGTCCAAGAAGTCGTCCAGCGTCATGTTTCCCTCTCCATCCTCAGAGAAAACCTCAGCGATCCTTTGACGAAATGGGTTGTCCTGAGCACAAAGACCACCAAAACTGCTTGAGTGATGAACTGGAAAATGCCAAAACTTTAACACACAAACTTATTTCTAAATTTTTCTATGGAGAAAATGGCTGTCTGCGCAGGGCGGCATAACCCGAGGGACCCAATTGTCACTCAAAATTGAGAACAAATATTAGATCGACTGGACTCCAAACAAGTTTCTCAGAGATATTGATCGACTTAAATTTTTTAAAACGTTGGAAAGGTCCTTATTTAGACCAAAGTTTGACCTCAATGTGTTCCAGGTCCCTCCTTTTCTCAGTGCCTGCCAGTTAGCAGTAAATATTTGTTTACATTGCTTGCCTCTGCGTAAAGGAGCATATAATTGACCTATTTCTAACAAAGGAGCCCTCAGGGACCCAGCAGCATTCTTCAAGTTTGAAGGAGTCGGGTAACATATAACCTTTCAATGAATTCTGTCGATTAGTTGGTCATTAATTATGGATGGGGAACAGGGGGAGAGCTGGTCTGCGGGGCTTTTTGCGGACCAGTGGGTCTACCTTCAGCTCCGGCATGCTGCCAATCAGCTCGTATGGTAACTTCACATCTGGGTGGTTGGTGTAGTCAAGAGGAACGAGCTGCGGTGCCAAATCCCGATAGCGGTAGAACAGTCTAGGATGGTCCAAAACATTCACTTTCAGTGTTGGATTACAAATCATCTTTTAAATTAGATGGCATGCATTGTTAAACATTGGTTGCTAATAATAGAAAAGGCTTCTTAACGAGCATAAAGCATCAAGAACATTCAAGTATAAGCATTTGAAAATCAGAAAGTTAAACTTAAACTGAATCTGATTTGAGAGGAAGTCCGACCCACAGCATGACGGGTCAGATCGATGAGAGTTTAGATTTACTGTAAAGGAATAGGTAGAAAACAAGGGATTTTGGCAGAAAACCTTCATGTTAAATGCATTTGCATTTATTGCAGTGGTATAAAATCTCAATGAAACATTTAATGCAGTTCAACTCTTCCGGTCTTATTCGTCACAATCACGTTTGTTTTAAATGTTTCAACTATTCCTGACTGCAGGTTTGTTAAAATTTAGGCAAAGAGTTATTTTGTAGTAAGTATTTCTTTCTTGAATGGCAAATGTTCTCATGACATTGTATTCATAGCCAGGATGTCACTGATTTTTAATTGAGGTTTGCCAACTGTCTGATCGGCGTAATAAATATATGATGAATTATGCAAGAGGAAAAATCTTCATTAATTTTAGAGAAATTGTTTCATTTGCTCCAAAATATTTCTTAATCTGGGTTATTTTTCCCCCGTCCCATTCAAGAGATGTTCTCAAACTAGTATTTAGTGTAATATTGGATTACTTTGGAAAATTATTAACTTTTACCAAAGTTAATGAAAACAATGAATAAATAGAAAAAAAATAAAAGACAAAGGTGTTGTATATATTTTATGCTCACCTGAAAATTTCTTTTCTAGTGAAATATGTACAGTCCTGCAAATACAAGAAACAACATTGAACTTGCAGAAAGTAAATCACTGTTTTCACACAATGCAACTGTGTTTTGTTAATATAAACATTAATTAAACGTTTCAGATCCTCTTAACAATTTTAATATCAAAAAACAGAACTTTAGTAAATGCATACAGCAGATTTCAAATTTATTAGGAGGGAAAGGCTGTCCAACTTTATGTTCTTAAATTGTGAATGAATTGAGATAAAACCACATTTCTGGCTCAGTTTCATGAATCGCATCAGACCTCAATATTGCATGCCCTGGAAAATCACAAAATCACCTGAACTGAACCTGTCCGGCAGCAGGAAGCTGATTAAAATGGTGCAAAACAATAAACCTTTATCTGAATAAATGCAAGAAAAGAGAAGAACCAAAAGGTTGTGGAAAGAGTTACAAAGCCATTTCTGGTGTTTTCAGACATTATTCACTAAAGAGGAGAACAGTAATGAACCTTTCCAAATGTGGCCACCAAATCAAAATTACTAATCAGTCATTTGTTTCAGTTAAGGTCAGAGGTCCTGATTTAAGAGTAAGAAAGCGAGTTGGGTGAAAAATAGGCATCTAGAGAGACTGCTGACCATAAAAATCACATTTTCTAAAAAAACAAAACAAAAAACAAAACGCACAAACATCTTGATGATTGCCAAGAGATTTGGAAAAATCCCCAAAATTTGTGGATTGATGACAAAACAGAGGAACATTATAAAACTAACACAGCATTTAAGAAAGTGTGACAGTCTGGGGATGCTTTCCTGTTTCAGGATCAATGAATTTTGTTCTCACACAATAAATTCTTATAAGGAAAATGTTCAACCATCATTTTAGGATAAAACAAAACCAAAATAGTTGGTCTGCTCTGTCATGCATGACACAGTTTATGCTCAAAAACTCTCCAATGCGGCTGATTTAGAAATATTATTTAAAGAAGAATAAAACATCAGCATGCCAGTTATTGTTATATTAAAATCAGTTTGATAATCTAAAACATTTAAGTGAGAAACAATACAAGAAATCTGGAAAAAACGTATAATAATAACAGCAATTATGTTATTATTATTATTATTATTATTATTATTATTATTATTATTATTATTATTATTAATAGTAATAGATATTAATAATAATAAATAAAATATATATTTTTTATTGTCAACATTTTTTTAAGTTGACTGAATTTAAAACTAGTTTTAAAATGTAACTACATCCATGTACCTTGATGCTATTGTTTTGTTTTGTTTGTTCTTTTATTGGTTTCAGTGTATTAGAGTAAATCAAATCAACAAACACCATCAGGGTACATTTTGCATTGCATTCTGTGGCCGTGGCTAGTACTTATTTTCCCAATGAAGAATAAATTAAGAACAAATTTAATCTGTTTTACCACTAAAGTTGCAAACATCGAGTTGATGCTCCAGTTTGTACAGAGAACGAGATTGATACTGACCTGATATGCGTCGAGCTGCTGCGCTGTGAAGATGGTTTGTTTATTCCCCATGTCTGAGCTTTCAAGCTCCAAAAGCACAGATCCATCGCGGCTCCAGCACCGAGCGAATGGTTTTTATTAGAGAGGCCCAGTCAGATATGAAATACCGGGACAAAAGGAGGCCAGAGCCAAAGAGGAGATCGGGTGTCGGGCCGCAGCCGGGCCCTTTGCTTGCCACCATAATGGGAGCATTTCATCGTTTGCTCCATTGTGAATAGCAGCCCCTCTGATAATGAATGAGGGCTGTCGTCCAGCATCATGCCAAGCGGTTTCAACCCCCTTTAGTGCCACTCTATGGCCAACGCCTCGCTCGCTGATCAGGTTACATTCTTTACAGACAAGGTTTTGTAACGCACTGAAAGAAACTTTGATGGCTGATGACAACATGGTTGATGTTTTGTTTGAGCTGCAAACTAACCTTGAACTTTTTCACATTTCATCACATTGCAGCCTCAAAGTTTTATGTATTTTCCTGCGATTTTAGATCATGCAAAGTGGGACAGATTAAATATACAGCTCTGGAGAAAATGAAGAGCCCACTGCACTGAAACCCATTGAAAACCTTATAGTTATTATACCAAATATTGATTTCTGAACTCTTCCTGAGTTAAAACATTAATATTGTTGTTTCTAAACGAATATGAACTTGTTTTCTTTGCATCCTTTTCGTTGTTTTGACCATTTCTCATTTTCTGCAAATAAATACTAGATTTTTGCTTGGAATTTTGGAGACATGTTGTCAGTAGTTAATAAAAGAACAATGTTCATTTTACTCAAACACATACTTTAAAAAGTAAAATCAGAGAAACTGGTCATTTTAAGTGGTCTCTTAATTTATTCCAATGCTGTATACATATATATATGTATATATATGTATATACATGGATCAGTACTTTTCAAATCAACTTTTGGGTGTAATTTGTTGTATGTCTCCACCAGCTTTGTCCATCTGAAAAACATTTTTCCCATTGCTGTAATGGCTTTCTTCTCCCGCCTGCATCTCTGCAGCTCACGGCTGACGGCTAAGCACCAAATAAACACAACTCAGTTAAATTAAAATAGCAACACTAAACATCTAATTATTTCCAGATCAATACGTGAAGGTAGTTATGCTGGATCTTATGCGTGTAGATTCTAATGGTAGCTCTATGGCAGCATTACTGCAGTAACTGCTGTACTGACATTTAAACACCGTTTCATGCTAGTGTTTATTTCTAAGCATTTTCCTGAAGGCAGATTTCCACAAGTCGGTTTTATTTAAGTCATTACTCTCCCATTTTGTACGTGCAAAATGTGTCCCACAGCGTTCACACTCACATCCAACCAGACTTTGTTTCCCTCTTCACTTTTCCTCTTGGGCTTTATTGTTGATTTCTCCGTTATTTCCCCGCTACTAACCTTACAGACCTGATGTAGAACTAGTTAGAGAATTTTTTTGCCCACCGTCTTTGCCTTAGTGTGGTTTATAATGACTCAAAAAAATGTCTCTGGTAACGCATTAAGGTCTGCAATGTCTGCTATGACGACAGTTTGCTTGTCGGAGGAAAGCTCTACTTCAGCAAGAGAACGGAGCTGTTGAAGTAGTGCTTCTCTTAGTTCAGTTTAATATTTTTAAAGAGGAATTTAACACAGTCATAGTGATAATTAATCTCTCTCTAAAACTTTGATATGAAATTTAAACACAGCTGTGTTTATGGTAGGAACTGGCAGCCAGAGTGAAGCAAACCGCCCTGGAAGCAGTGACGCCATCACCGTCGTTCCAGCAGAGACACAGAGCATCAGACCCAGCAGGTGAGGCGGTAGGGATGGGAAACGCAGCAGGCTGCCCCCTGCTGGTGAATCTGATCACTGCGTCTGTTGTCCTCATTCCAGTAAGGGCCGAAGGAGCAGCATCATCAGCTCAGTCGGTTCTGAGCCGTCGCCTGCCCTGTCTGTCCTCTCTCTGGTTGCTCCGGACACGCCCATCCAGTTTGACATCAATTTTTCATGTTATCTTTTAGAAAGGGGATGATAAAAAAAAAAAAAAACAGGACAGATTTACTTGGAGCATATACACATTTTTATTAATTCTTATGGCAGGAAGTTTTGATTGGTTATAAACACCTTCAATTACCCCCCACCCCCCGCCTCTCAATAAATTTTATTTTGTATTTCAAGGCAGCCCAACACAATATGGAATGAATATGTTGATTTATTTATCTATTTAAATTGCATGTAAAGTATCTTAAGATTAAATTTCCTCTTGACTGAAGGTTCACCTTCCCCACCCGGTGTTGTAAAGAAAAATGGACAAAATGTTTGTAGACATTAAAAGCTGGTTGCTTATTTATTTACATCTCAGCTTTGCTGATTACTCAATTACTTCCATCTGTCATTATATCAAATTATTCTGACATTCAGATTTCACAGTAAGTACAGTTTCTTAAAATAGTAGTGTAATATCTACAAAAACTAAAGCATATCCATTTATTTTTCTCGTTTTGTGAAATTACCATATAATTTGCAAAATAACACACCCAAAAAAAAACCGTGTGTTGCTAAGAGTGATGTCATCGACCAACATGACTCTGGGTTAAGTCCTGTTTGTTAGCAAAAACCAGAACTGGAACGTCCCTCAGCTCATCCAAATCCAGCTGCAAGACAAACACAGAGCTATTGTATAAAACGGCTTCGTGTTACTGTTTTAAAATGTAACGATGTGCAACGTCTCGATGCGCCCACCAGAGGGCGATACAACTTCGGTTGTATCGGTACTTCCGATACAACCGAAGGCTTCAAGGTATAGCCTGTCTGTTACACAGTCTTACGTTAGCTGAACAGATCAATATGCAGTGTGTACCGTATCTGACATGCATTAAAGA